GCGGCGGGGCAGACTGGCGACTGGCTGGGCTGGGGCCTGATCCTGCGCCCCGTACGTTCGGGGGCCGTAGCTGCGTGCGGGCCTCTGGCGGCGCGGAGCTGTGGGGAGGCGGTTGCTGAAACGGAGGGAAAAGCGGAGCGCTTAGCGTGCGAGAGCTTCCAGCAACAGCTTACAGACCGTAAATTTCGTATTTGATGGCGTTGATATCCGACAGATATGTAAGCAGGTTTAATAAATGTTTACCTCTGAAATGCAAATGAGACTGACCAAAGCATACTCACAATTACCTGCTTATCCACGGCAGTGAACAGGTTGGTTTTCAGAACCATCCCAAAACCTCCTGCAGGCACACTTTGATGTTTTTTAGTGCAAATAGGCGTCCAATCCAGCTAAGCGCTAGCAGGACTGCAGTTAGGACACACTGAATATCGGTAAGGTTATGTATAAGCATGATGAGATTATATATAAGCATATGTGTAAAGGACTACGTCACAGGGCACCTCAATTTTCCTTCTGAAGCAGAAGGCAAAGTGATCCAGCATGTCCTACACTGACGGAAAATCTGACTGAAGGCCATTTTACTTTCCTTCCCCTTCATAAGTCTCTGTAGAGAGGTTTTACTAATAGTTCATTTAGTATTTGGCATAAGGTAGCATTAATTATTTTAAGACTCTTCTCAGTTTTGTGAAACTAAAGGCTTACCTGCATACAGGTCTCTCCCTCCCATCTCTGTACAGCAGGAGCCGGTCTGCTAGTTTGGATCTTGTGGTCAAACTGCAATAATTAGAACTGTGTCAAGCAGTGCCAAATTATACGTAATTCATCAAGACTACTTATGTTATTATACAATAAGAATAGGCATAGTTCCATATACAGCTCAGGCAGGGGCTGGGCTTCAATCATCGCTGGAACCTAGTCTTCTATTTCTCTCCTGGGATGCGCAAATTGCATAGCTTTCTCCCAGAAGTTAGCGCTATATGAAGGCCATTTCACACAAAGCAGATCCCAGCTCTGATGGTGCTGTGTTGGTTATAAGGATCAAGGTAATCATGGGATGATACCACTTTGTCAAGTCCTTCGCTCTCCACGCCAGCCGTGCAGCTGTTTTCTGTGAAAACAGTGCTAGGCAGAGGATGTCAATGCAAATTAGGAGACTGAGGGTATGTTCAAACTATTAAATTATATTTATATTCTCAATTTCTATGCAGATATGAAGCGCTACAAGGTGAGTTTATGACGCAATAGTTGCCTGTTTCTGAAGACTGTAAAATGAGCTAGCAGCATCAAAAAGGACATTTGACCAACTCCAGAAAAGGCACTATATATTTTAATCTTAAAATTTTCTATTATTTTTGCCCTTGCTTTTTTTTCTTTTTAAAGGAGAAAATCAAGCCTTTTCAAATTTGCAGCATGAGTCTCTTTCTTTAGAAAGTAGGGCTTTATGCATTACAAAGGCAAGCCTAACTCCTTTCCTTGCCTGTTCCCATAGTAACTCTTCCAGCTGATGCCCCTGTGAAGACTGCATTCCAAGTAACACCAAACCCTTCAAATGCTGAACTACTCTGCAGTAATAAAGAATATTTTAAAAGTTTGTGAAACTCTTGAAAGCACAGAGAAGTACTAACACTTGCAAAATGTGACGCCTTGCAAGGCTTCCTTTTATTCAAGGGCTATTTGATGTCAGTACATAGTAGCTGTTACAAGATTTAGCTGTGATGATATCTCACCACTGTGGTGGCTGCGAACATCACTCAGCTTCTTTGTAAGGGAGACAGAATGTGAGGGTGACCTTGTGGGATTCTTCAGCCAGTGATGTTGCTGTAGAAACAACGGCAGACTATTCAGTGCTCAACACAGATGTCTCGGACATCCCACAAACAGCAACAGCATGAGAATGGCCCATAACATATTCCGGTTTTCATTTGTTCAGGGCCAGGCTAGGGGAAACCATCTTGGCAAGCCAGAATATTCTCGTGAAAGAAAACAACACTGAGAAGCAAAAATCCATGTAGTGTGAGGAGAAAGGAAAAAGATAAGTAGTGGAATTTCCTTATTTTCACCAATTCTTAAGCAGCTTTCTGAAACTGAAGTTCGAAATTGCAACAGTGCTGTTGTATTTTAAAAAAGGAAAAAAAATCTGGCATTTAATTGCAGCTTTTACTAAACTTTTTTTAATTCACTCTTTTTCTATCATCTGTTCCACTGGTACATCTACCACTTACTTTCTGCAACACAAAGTAGATTGGTTGTTTTCATGTTCAGTCCATAGCACTTTCTTCCCACATACCAAGAGAAAGTAAAATGTAAATAAATCCCAAATGAAGAAATGTTAACCCCCCCCCCTCCTCCAGAATTTAATACAATATAATGTTAGTTCTATAGATTTTGCTGAAAAGACTCACTGCAACTTAGAGTAGCAGCACTGGGAACTGTCATAGGATGTTCTATTTGCCCCGTAAGCACTAGAAGTAAGGAAGTTACTTACAAGTAAGTTCCCTGCAGGTGCATCTCTTGGCAGTTGATTGGCATTGGCATCTTAAAAAACTTGCAAGGTTCTAATAAAGTTTGTCCTGCCATCAGGACAAACAATCTTTCGTTATGAAGTTTTTCTGCATGAGCTGCTTTTCTTCAGAGTGGGCAGTACCCTGTCCTCTCTTTAGGCAAGCAGCCTGTTCTCAGTGATTTCATTTTTAAAGATGTTAACTCGCATATAGGAGGGAATCGCAGCTGCATTGATAATACATAGGCAAGGCAAATTTGAGTTCACTTATCACATATATCTTCTTCCTAGCACACTCACTTTTCTCTACATCCTTGATTTCTGAAGGCCCATGGAAGAATTATCCTCCTTTCTGCAACATAATGCCACTCTTGTCTCAGCTCCTTGCACTGTACCTCTATCCAGGGATAACCAGAAAGAACTAGAGGCAGTGGTTTTAATCTCTTAAAAACTGGGTAATGCAGTATCACATGAACTGCGGACACATATTTAGCTAACGGTCACAAGAGCATTCCAGACGCCTTTAGAAGGCCTTGAACAGAATAAACAAGAAGACAAAAAAAGAAAGATGCCAATTAGAAGAACACAGGTGCGCATTCCACGATAAAGGGAACTTGGCACAAAGAACCTCAATTCAGCAGTTTATCTTGACCAATTAGACTGAGACAAGTTTCGCATGTTTTAGTTGATATAACCAATTATGTCCTATGTTTATGCGCATGTACAGAGTTAGTATAACCAATTATATCTTATGTTCATACGCGTGTACAGTGTCGATATAACCAATCATATTTTATGCTTGTGTGTGTAGACACTATATGCTTGCATGCAGCAACCAATCAAAGCTTTTAAGGAACTTAGAGAATTGTATAAGAATGATCAGGTATGCTCAATAAACTGGTGACTTTGATCATCATATCGGTGTCCTGTCGTCCGTCCCCACATGGAATTTCGCAACAATGAACAATCACAGGCCAAATGTTGATGGAAGGAAAATACAGTGTTCAATTTGATCTTGAAATGTTCTGCTTATTGGCAGCACAAGTAAGTAGGAATAACTATCTTTTAATCTGGTCTCTTCTTGTAGTGCCTGGTAACTAGCACCAACACTCTCCACTTGACTCTGTAGCTGTGAGGAATGGCTATGGAAGATCCTGACAAGAAGACTGAAGTAGTACTGCTGGCCTGTGGGTCCTTCAATCCCATTACCAACATGCATCTAAGGCTATTTGAGCTGGCTAAAGACCACCTTCATGAAACAGGTAGGACAGTAATCTATATCATTCAGAACAGCTCTGATAACTAGAACCTTAAATGTTAAGGTGAATACTTTGTGTATATGAATGCCTGTTTGACAGTGACAGATATTTTTGGAAATACTAATTCTATATTGATGCTAGTATGCGTGCATGTATCATACAAAGTCATGTAGGCCAAATACATGAGATAACAGTCTTATATATGTGTTGCTTATTACTAATTTTAATGACTTAAAGCATGAGTTTAATAGTTTTATCTTTCTAATACATCTTACTAAATCTTTAATTGTGCTGCCTTGCACATGGCAGAGGTGTACAGTACTTTTCCACTCAGCTGGCTATCAGAGCTGGCATTGGTGTTCTTAGAGATTGCAGTGAATAATGGTTATGTAATAGTTTAAATACAATACAGTGGAAGTAACATCTGCTCAACCACTTTTCATGTTATTGTGTGATGTGTTTTTTTCCACAGGAAAATACAAAGTAATCAAAGGAATAATTTCACCAGTAGGTGATGCATATAAGAAGAAAGGTCTGATCAGTGCGAACCACCGAGTAACTATGGCAAAACTAGCTACAAAAAACTCAGATTGGGTGGAAGTTGATGATTGGGAAAGCAGCCAGAGTGAGTGGTTGGAAACACTAAAAGTTTTAAGGTATTCTTCAGCCAAATCCTAAAAAGTCTCAAGAACCTATAGTAGGATAAGGAATGGTGTTAGCTCTAACAAGTTAGAATAATAGCAGACTAACCCCAAATCATACGAATAGACTCAGTGAATTCAGAAGTACTATTTATACGAGCATTGTAAATGAAAGATTGCACCATTAGTCCTAAATGTACAAAAAATGAGCCTGCGAACAATTTTTAAGATATATTGTTTCTTAGGTTTTATTCAATTTTTGTGCTGAAAAAGTATTCATGAGGAAGGACAAGAGACTAGAGTAGGGTAGACACATGCTACACAAGCTTCCCTCATTAGATTCTGATTGTGCTATGCTGCCCATTTGTGTATTTAAAGGCTGGCATGAGAATTGCCTGAAGGAGTATCTTTTAAGTTTTATGGTTTTTATTCTTTTAGTCACTGCAGCCTCACTGAGGTTCTTCTTTTTAAAACAAATTTTTATAAAAAAGAGACAAACCAACCTTGTAGTTGTTGCTTTGAAATCTTTGCACTTTGACTGTCTTATGATGTCTTATGACCCACCTCTCACAAGTTCCTGTTCCAGCAGATCAGTTCTTGGATGGATTGTCTGTGAAAGTACTGCAGGAGGAAGTGGTGATAGATTATTTAGTAGGCCATACTCTTCCCTATATTCTCCTACATCTTTAAAATACCTAAAATACATCTGTTTTACAGGTACCATCATCAAAAGCTCTTATCTCCTGATCCCACTAATACTCTGCAGAATGCTATACCTTTAACAAAGCCAGGACGGAAGAGGAAACAGGAACCAAATAGGCATGACCCCATTAAAAAGAAAAATCAGAGTCCAGATATAAAAAGTTAAGTCTGTTTGCCAATTAAATGCTTAACAATACTTGCTATTTCAAAGGAATTCTGTTGATGAGTAACATTTTTCTGTGCTAGTTCTTGGTTCTGATTTCACTGAATAAGTTTATTCCCTTAGATCCCACAGTGTAAAGCAGTAGGCTTCGTAACAAGAGGACTATAAGGGTAAAATATATAGGACATGAAAAATACTCAAGATAATAGAAATTTGAACTGAAAAAGGTCTGAGCTATCCATTTTACCTACAGAACTTTGCTAAACTGTAGTTACAACTGAGAATTTTGGATCATATTGTAAGTTGCTGAAGAAAGAAAGAAAGGACAGGATTAAGTCCTGAAATTCAAAATATATCTGCATACAGGATCATTTTAAATTGTAATTTAAAACTTCATACAACAGATGTAGCTTGGCTTTGTAATTTTAGATAGCATTTATTTTGCTATTGCTTTTAGATCTAAATTTTAGTTATTTAGCCTAAAAGGTACAATTATATGTGTTCATATAGAATTTGAACAGCCCTGTATAATGACCAGCTTAATCCTTTATATTTGCAAATCTTGACTTTTGCCTGACTTCTTCCCTTGAATCTTTCCGAATTCTTCTGTTTAAAGTAACTGTATTCAAAGAAAAGACCAACAGCATCAGGCAGGCTTTTTTCATATTGTGTTGACAGATGTTTTAGTACATTCCTACCACCCTGTGACATTACTGGAATCTGCAAATCTGTAGCACTCTCAATTTTGCTTCCATTTCTTTAAGGTGGTTTCTATCTGCATGCTTCTCGAGATTCCCTGTAAAATATAGTGTGGAAGAGAGTCCCCTGAAGACAAGTCACACAGTCCATGGGGTTTTCTTTGGTCATATTTTCTTTCCTTTTACATAGTCCCTTCTGCCCCCTGTCCCGTAAAAGCTAGCTACTCTTCTGTAACTCTATGGAATGTCAGATGAAGTTTTAACAGCATTACAGTATCCCTTCATACTTAGCTATTCTGGAATTTTCTCTATATTTTCTTTTACTTTGATCCTCACAGTGATTGATTCATCCCAAGGCTAAATGAGCATATTAGAGTTTATTTTCCAGTCCTTTTGAATGAAGGGACTCCCATAACCTTTTTTCAGAAAAATCCTGTATTGAAGCTACTAATTATAAAGTATATACTCTGAATCTTTTTTTATGTCATTCCATTGTCTCATCTTAACCAAAGATAAAGAGAGGTAGCCTAGAAATTAAATGGCCCCATCAAGTTAGATAAAATCTGGTGGCCTAAACCAAGCCCTGTTTCTCACTTATTTTTCTTTTTAAGGTGTCCCACAGGTTAAACTGCTTTGTGGAAGTGACATGCTGGAATCTTTTGGGATCCCCAATCTGTGGAAGTTGGAGGACATCACTGAAATTGTGGAAAATCATGGCCTTGTATGCATCAGTAGGGCTGGAAACAGCGTTCAGAAATTAATCTATGAATCTGATATTTTGTGGAGACATAAGAATAACATTCACCTTGTGGAAGAATGGATCACAAATGACATTTCCTCCACCAAGATTAGGAGAGCACTGCGGAGGGGCCAGAGCATTCGTTACCTAGTGCCTGATGTAGTTCAAGCATACATAGAAAAAAATAATCTGTATAGTCCAGAGAGTGAAGACAGGAATGCTGGGGTTGTCTTGGCTCCCTTACAGAAACATGCAAGTGATTCCAAGAACTAACAGGCACTATACAACTAACTTACTTTCTGCTGTTAATAAAGCTACAGTTCAGTATGGGAAAATGTGATTTTTAGGGGTTGGTTTTTTGTTTGTTTGTTTGTTTTAAGTAACTAGTGGGCTAATTCTGTCGCTTTAGTACATCTGTAGTTGCTGTTGAGGTTTGGTGCACTCAATAATTGGACCTACACAATCTTTTTTAAATCAAACAGTAAGATTTTCACGTTTAAACATTTTGTCACAGTGCAGTGAACTAAGTGTAAGAATTCACACTTGCATATGAGAATTACAAATTAACAAACAAAACAAATGAAAATGTTCTAATTAGTTTTAACTCAGACTGCTGAATGCTATTTATAAAATATTAACACAGATATTTTTAATAACCTAAGGTGTCTTAACAGACAAAGCAACTTAATTTCAAAATGTACCACTTAGTGATAGGAAATCTATGTAACTAATTTTTTAAAAAATTGCCAACATGGGGTGCACCTCAAAGAAATAATTTAGCTCTATCCTGGAAGGGAAAAATTTACTCCTGGCTGAAGTGGTGCTAGATACACCATGCTTTTAGCTGCCTGCCTTTCAAGTATGCAGCCTGTTTGTCTGCTATCATGCAATTTGCTCCCAGAAATGCCTTGTGCTTTACTTTTCCATTCATGTTTCCAGAGCTGTATGTTAAGCTCAGCACTGTTTCTCATGGAAGGACAGACCTACTTCAGAAACTGGTTTACAGCCATTGATTTAATGGATAGAAATTAATAATAGTGTCTTGCACTGATTCTCAGACAGTTGTCCCTTTATTTCAAATAATAAATGAGCTTTTACTTTTGAGCCAAATGTATATAGCCGGAATTGTTTTCTGTGACTGGAGTTGAGAAGAAATGGTAGGATATTAAGACTGTATATAAGTGAAATGTTTTTCTTTGCTAGAAATCTGGTTTTGAATCTAATAGTATATTGTCTGTATTATGTGAATATAAACTAGAAAGGCACTGTGAATGTCATGGTGATAGAATTCTACCTCCCTTTATTTACCATCATCCCATTTTTGTTTGGATGTGCCTTATTAAAAATGTGAAAGTTTCTGAGACGCTACCTAATGGGTCAACAGCTTTTTCATACAATCTCCACAAGATGACTCTGTTCACGTTTTTCAGATCAACAAATCCAGCAGAACGTGAGACTCTCAGGGCAGGAAACCTAGATGCTGTTGGGCAAGTCTAGAACCAGACATGTTCCAGGATCACAACTGTGACAACCCGCCATCTTCCTTCCCTGGGCAGGCCATCCTCAAAGAGCTGAGGCAGAGGTCTAGGCTTCCCTCGGAGCTTAGGTGGAGTCTGGAAGCCAGAAGCCAAACATAGAACATCATGGTTGGCCCTAGGGCCTGCAAAGCTCATATAAAACCCAGCAGGTGAGTCGAGACACTATTGGGAAAACCTGTAACCTGCAGTGGAGCTAGCATTGGGTATGCAAACTTGGACCCCTACATGAAATTCTGCAATTACCATACACTAGAACATCTGTGTTCTACTAGTTCCAGTCTGTACAGGTGGCTGTCTACAGAGAATCTACAAGGAGATTAGTGGAATAAAATCAAGTCACAACTTAGAAGTGCATCTGTAACTGCACTGTGACAGAAAGTAGCATCAAGTATTCTTAGGTTTTTTTCTTGGTGATTCCTGCATCAAATGTCCTCAGTCTGCCATTTTTTTCCTGTAGAGCTCAGGCAAGCTAATACTGTCCTTCGATGATGAGGCTGGGTTCGTTTATCATCAATAGTAATAAAGGTACTGAAGGATAAATTATGGCCCCCGTGACACCTTAGCAATCAAACTGCCATAACTGATTGAAGATAACTATATTATTGATAGTGCATAGGAAAGGACAAGATCTACTTTTCTCTTTTGCTCGCTGTCTGTCTTTATGACTGACAAGAATAGACGGCAAGAAAGATTTATTTTCAGCACTCAGGTCAACTAGTGTGCTTCTGAATAAACGGAGCAGATCTTTCTAATGGGAAAGCACCCTGTTTATGTGGTCACTTTTCAGAGTAAAATTGCACTTAAGTCTAGATTTATTCTAAATAATGATGCTGGTGTGTGTTGGTGTACTTTGTGTAATTCTAGAGAAACTGCACATTCAGTAGGATGTTTTATAAAGCTTTGGTCTTCAAACAGTTATATTTCACTGGGTTTTAACGTAGTTATGTGTGATGGGTCTTTCAATAAAATAAATTGCACGTGATATGCTAATTTTAGTCATCCTGTTATTAACCAAATGTGATGTCTGATGGCAGCACGATTGTTAAGTAGGTAGAATGATGTCTGTACAGTTCTGTCTATACAAAACAGAACATTGTTCAAAAATTACACTGACTGCTGAATATGGATGTTTTGTTTTACTAGTGGGATCCAGAAACCTGCCTGTTACAACACTAGAAGTAACTGCACACTGACAATCTACTGTTACAATCAGTTATAAATATCAGCATTGCAGTGATGTGGCATATTCAAAAATGTTAGACAGGTATAACTTTCAAGAGTGGACTAGACCTAAAAGAGAATCTATATACTTGAAAATGTAAGGTTTGTGAATAATGCAGTTCACTGAACTTTATAAGAGAGTTATAATGCATTCACAGATGTTCTATGAACAAAAATGAGGCTTGTTTTTTTTTTTTACATCACTGCATTTGGTTCTGCTCTATTAAAAGAACATAGGGCCCTTTCACTGCACATATAATTCAGACTCAAAATATTTTATAAATACTGCAACAGCAGCAGGATCCACTTTATCTACTTATGTAACGAGGCCACATCCTTAATGGAATGTATTAGATGCTCAATGCTGCACAGCAATTAAGACAGAAATGGAAAAAAATTCTTTCCACAAAAAAAAAATCGGGAATTTGTAAGGGAGAAAGAAATGAACCATCATAGGATGTGGCCAGGGGACTTGGCGGTTCTTACAAAAAGTTCCACAGGCAATTCTTTGGCTGAGCCTTGAAATAGTACCCCTAGTAGCCTTTATAAGTCTTAGTTTGAGATGAAGTACTGATTTACAGAAAGAAGCACCACATCCCAGACAATCTGCATAATCTTCATTTTCAATTAAAATGTATATCCAGGCTCTTAAACAGGACTTATCCAAGTACTGACTTCCCTTCACTTGGAAGAGTCCGTAGTATTGCAACAGTGCTTTACTACCATACCCTCGTACTAAGAAATTATGGGTGAAATGTTACTATTTGAGTCCAGGGGAAACATTAATAGGCATTTCGCTGTGCCATTCCTAGTTTAGTATAGGTTAGAGAACAATATCCAGCTGCAAACAGGAAACAAGCTTTGACGTCTTAATTTCCTACTGGCATGATTCTGTGAGTCATATAGGTCAAACTGTCAGCTCCAAAAATGTAGTTAAAGTTCAGGGAAGCTTAATTTTCTGTGCAAAATATTCTTTTTATTCAGCCTAAACTGAGTCAGTAAATAGGCAGATGTAGTAGCTATAGGTGAGATTCCTCATTCAAGATTCAGAATACCAAATTCCCTTTTTACTGTGGTAGCAACACAGTTAAGATTTCCCTTGCCCATCCATTTTGGGTTTTTCTTTTAACGTAGCCTTCACTGTGGTGCTCGTTGCTGTCCCATCTGACCACTTAAAATGTGGGATTAAGCTAATGCTCAAAACATATGTGTGACTTTGGGAATGAATGTTTTCCCCATTTTACCAATGAGGAAACTGAGATAAGAAGTTAGTCTAGCTCTCCTGTACTTAGCGATTCTAGAGTGCCTAGTTGTTCAGGGTTATTAAATTCATATTTCTCACTTGGTAAATTGTAACAATAAGGCATACAGTTTGCAAAAAGTAACCAGTGATGGAGGAACTGCAAGACATTGGAGAATTATGTATCTTTTAAAGGAAATAAAATCTCACTTCCAAATTCCTAATATATCCTTTCTCTTCAAAGTCAGACATTCTTTATTTACTTTTCAAAACACATTGCAGGATCATCACTTAAGAGATTTCTTTCACTTCTTTGCTGAAGTCCAACACTGAAGCTTACCTGCTGCATCCTGTGCTCTACTCTCTATATGCTCTGCCACAACATGGAACATCTAATAAAGCATCAGTGGGAATAACTTCTGTTATGACCTCTCCTCTACTGTATGTGTCAAGAATAAAAAGCAAAGGGGGGAGCTACACCTTCTATATACACGAGAGTACTTTTTGGATTTGTTACTCTTGTTGGCTATTTGTAGGAGTTGAAAGTGGATTGCAAGAACAGGTATTTGTCCTCCCTCCCATCTAGGAAAACTGATAAACACAGAGCTGCAGAACTGAACAGAGCTCAGGCCTCTGGATCTGCTGTCTCATGCCTAACTACTACACAAACTTTCTGGCTGGTAAGGCATCTGAGAAAATAAAGAATTTTGTATATGTATGTTCATTTAAGTAGGACATAACTAACAACATTAAAGAAATCAGAACACAAGTAGGTAAACTGTGGCACAGCAGAGCTGTGTTGAGAGTCACATCAGAGAATAACATGTACAAAAAAGGTTTGTCTTTCACTTTTCTGTTATAACCACTAGAGAACGATACTGCCTACTATTCACTCCAGACATAAACCAAGAAGATATAATACTAATCTCTATTACTGTGTCATAGGTACGGCTTTAAAAATTTGCTGATACACCTACAGTTTAACAGTCAATCCCTGTCTGTTCAAATACAGCATGTATTTACAGCGGGTAGATCACTTTTTCAGCAAGTACATAGATTTCAGATCATAAAGCCACAGATCTAATATACGTGCAGGGAATTTTAGTAATGACAAAATCTGTCCATGATTCCCTTTAAGGTATACAAGATGGACACAAAGGGTTTAAACCAGTTTTTGGTTTGCATTGTGACGCTTGGACTATTAACATTTGCTCCACACAAAGATTTCAGAAACTGTGAACTTTTCCCTCCAATGCAGCTGAAGCTGATCTACAAATACCCTCTCACCTATTGGCTCAGCAATAGTACCCTTCCCCTCCATCAGAAAGGCTCTGCGATGTAATCCCACCCACAGACTTCCTTATATAAGGCCTGGTTGGAAAACTACTTCTTCATTTTTGCTTTTGGGTCAGAGGTTGACTGCATCTTCCTTCCACAGTCTGGCAATGCCTGTGGATTTCAGTGGAACCTGGAACCTTATCAGCAATGACAACTTTGAAGGTTATATGGTGGCCTTAGGTAGGTGAAAATACTTGATTCTATCCTTCCCCCATAAGGGTCCTCCTGAATTTTAAGACTCTGAGCTCTTTTAAAACCTAGATATTGCTGAAGCTTTTTTTTCCTCTGAAAAACAATGGAAGGATCTTTGTTTGTTGATAAACAGACAGCATTAACTATACTTTAGCCTGTCACCCAAGTGTCATTGCAGCCTTCAGGAATTTCTCAGCCTAATACCTGTTAAAAGTAGAATTTTTTTATGGCTTTCATCAGAGACAGGGAAGACTTTGCCCTGTCCACTTAATTTCTCTTGCTTTTGAGCACAAACTTATAGAACCTATGTCTCAGGTTAATTAAATGTTAAGTAACAAAAAAAAGCACTTGGGTTCTTCCAGGCAGTTGTTTAGCTTAGTGTCATTTATCTTTAAACAGCTTACAAAATACTTCTCTCATTACTGTGACTTGTTGATAAGCCTCTCTAACCATCCCTTTTCTGGAGTCCTTGAAGCTAACCTCTTACCTTGCTCAGATCTTTTATAGAGAGAGATTAATGGTGCTTTAATGGGAAACTAAGAAAGTTCTTGGTACTTTATTAGTTTTCTTGTGCAAAGTTCATTGCAGACTGTGACAGCAGGCAACCTTGTGTACAGCCTTCTCTTCTCCCTGCCTTTCCCACCCGTTGTGCTTTTTTGACTTGTGTAAACCGATGACCAGTAATGTCCCTTGTTGGTTACTGTATACACAACTAGAATAAAATCAATTTCTGGCTGTATCTAAGCTGGGTGACCTACTTAAATTATCTAGTTGGTATCTTTAAAATGGTTCAAGAACTCTTCTCTGTTTCTAATCCTGCTGTGTTATCAATTGGAAAAAAAAGAAAGGGTGCTTCCATAATGACAATTAGTTTGAATGCTAAGTAATAGACAGTTAATGTGTTAATGTCTTCAAATGGAATAGAGATTCTGTCAGTTCCTTGATAATAAACATTGTCCAGCTAAGTAAAGGGCTTTTTTTAATGAAATATAACTACAATCCTTGTGAAAAATGCAATTTGTTTTCTGTATGTAATTGGGCAAACTTAGTAAAAGTAAAGGCAAAGAATCCTTTTGATGATTTACAACCTATCTTTAATTACTCCTGCTTGGTTGCCAGTATACTGAACAAAACAAGGACTGAAATAGCTATTGTAGAGCTAGAATGAAAAACTCTTCTGCCAGGTTAAGTAGAGTAAGGAAGCTAATATCCAGTCGGCTGAGTAACTAGACGGTTATGGATAAGGACACGGCTATTGCAAGCCTAGCCCTTCCTTCAATTTACTATCTACCTCTAATGAATAGATTTGTAAGTAGTTTGTATTTATATATTCTTATAATCATGTTAAGCCTTAATGGGTATGGCCGTTACCAGTACTGAACTCAAACCCCTCTATGCTAAAATAAATTGGTAACTGTGTAAAAACATGACTGA